CATATCCCTGAGTTTGGAGGTAATTTAATCTGATCTTTTTCTAACTATTAGATCAATATAACCTCCAAGAAACAGATATTCTATAATATTTTATCATAGAGAAATTATACTATTCTTGATTAATATCTAAGTTACTTATACATAAAGCTAAATTCAATATCTCTAAACATGCTTAATGGCATTGAATAGACATTGAATATGCTTGTTTGAGAAACCTGGGTGAGAGATCAGGAGGAAGAGAGGCAGCGGAGGCACAGAACAGAATTGAGTACTAACTAAGCAATATAAAAAGTAATATTATAATATTCTAGTAAAACTTGAACGGGTGACGGGTAAATTGGGTGATCTAATGGATATGCTTTTTTTTTTTTGCATGGAATAGAATTGTGAATACTTAGATATAACTAATATGAAAGGCTTTTTTCCTCGATATTTTTTTTTTTTAAATTTAGAAAATTGATAATTGGCAATTTTTGGCACAGAATAGAATTCAACACTAAGCAACATAAAAAGTGATTTTTTGAATATTTATAAATAACCAATATGAAGGGCTTTTTGCCTTTCCCACTTTTTTTTTTTTTGGTGTGAATCTAGATGTTGGTCTATATGAAACAATATTGCACACTCTTACTCAGATAATATGAAAGCACTAATATAACTCTTTGAAAAGTAATTAAGAACACATATGGGTTAGAGGTTTAAATGGGAGTGTTCTTACTATACGGTATAATACTTGGAACATTTAAATATAAGTATGGTAGAAAAAAAACAAAAAGCCCTCTCTCTCTTCCTCGCCACATCTCTGAGTTGGAAAGGTAAATTAATCTGATCTTTTTCTAACTCTTAGATTAACATAACCTCCAAGAGATAGATATTATACTATCTTTAATTAATGACTAAGCTAATTATATATAATGCTAAATGCAATATCTCTAAATACCCTTAATTGTATTGAATAGGCCTTTTTTTAATGGCATTGATATGCTTGTTTGAGAAATCTGGGTAAGAGATCAGGAGGGAGAGAGGCAGGGGAGGTACAGAATAGAATTCAACACTAATTAAGCAACATAAAATGTGATATTATAATGTTCTAGTAAAATTTGAACGAGTGATGGGTAAATTGGGTTATTTAATGGATTTGCTTATTAAGCATGGAATAGAATCTTGAATATTTAGATATAACCAAAAAGAAAGATTTTTTGCCCTTTCTATCTGTTTTTTTTTTATCAAGGTTGGATTATTATTGACACAGAATAGAATCTATATATGAAGGATTACTGTACACTCCTACTTAGATGATATGAAAAGCACTATTATAACTTTTTGGAAAATAATTAAGGATACGTATGTGTTAGAGGTTCAAATAGGTTTGTTTCAATACACGGTATAGTACTTGAAACACTCGAATAGAGATAGTGTAGAAAGTTCTCTCTTCCTCTTCATATCCCTGAGTTTGGAGGTAATTTAAACATAATCTCCAAGAGATAAATATTCTATAATTTTTCATCATAGAGAAAGGATACTATCTTCATTTAATGGCAAAACTATTTACATTCAATGCTAAACTTAATATCTTTAAATATTCTTAATGAGATCAAATTTGTTTGTATGGAGACACAGGGGAGAGAAGGGGAGGGACAGAGGCAGGGGAATATAATTTTTTTTATCTATATATTTACTTACAATTTTTTTTACAAGATTTATATAATAGCAGTGGAGAGAGGATAGAGAGAGAAAGAGGAAGAGAGAGAATTATTTTTTTTCTTTACATTTTTCTCTCTTTCTTTACCACAGATAATTGTAGAACCAACTATAGAGTCACTCCGACAGTCCCAAGACTATCCTTGATGGTACAGGGATTTTTTATTTTGCTTGTGATGCAGAATTTATGTCTGCATCACAAGACCGGAAGATTGAGTATAAATGTGTCTTGTGTAATTGTTTTCCCATATGGTATTTTTCTCTTTTTTGTTTTGACTTCTTGTCCTCTGGCATTCAGTGGTATGTGTCCTAATAAAACAGGAGGCCTGGAGGTGGAGACAAGAGTGTTCAAGGTTTCTTAAATTGGTTACATTAAACTCTGGGAGGATATTTATGGGGAGATAAATAGTAAAAAAATAATATTTTCATAAAAAATATCAATTTTATAATTTTTATTATATCAAAATTTATATATTGGCACTGTTCCCCTGATTATTGATTTAAAGCTGAGAATTACCCACTATTTTTAATTCTCGTAGATCTTGGAGTATGTTTTATTAGAGGATTTGTATTTCACACATTAATCACAAACTAATTATAAAAATATAATTTATTGTGCCAATAATTAATACTGATAATAATAATATGTAACATGCATGACAATAATCAGTGAATATTTAGGTATAACATAATGTATACAATATGGCAGTGGTTTAACAAAGTTTACAGACTGCTAAATAGTAACATTTATATCAATATGTATGCAGTTTTCAACAAGATTTATTACATAGTTACATAGTTACATAGCTGAAGAGAGACTTACATCTATCAAGTTCAGCCTTCCTCACATTTGCTTTTTGCTGTTGATCCAAAATAAGGCAAAAAAACCTAGTTTGAAGCACTTCCAATTTTGCAACAAGCTAGGAAAAAAATTCCTTATTGATCCCAGAATGGCAGTCAGATTTATCCTTGGATCAAGCAGTTATTACCCTACATTGAAAGATTATATCCTTGAATATTCTGTTTTTGCAAGTATGCATCTAGTAGTTGTTTGAACATCTGTATGGACTCTGTTAAACCACTTCTTCAGGCAGAGAATTCCACATCCTTATTGTTCTTACAGTAAAAAAAAAACCTTTCCTTTGCCTTAGACAAAATCTTATTTTTTCCAGTCTAAACGCATGTCCTCGTGTCCTATGTAAAGTCTGGTTTGTGAATAGATTTCCACACAATGGTTTGTATTGGCCCCGAATATATTTGTATAATGTTATGAACTAACATTTCACTTTGAATTCAGCTTGCTAAACATTCCTTAAAGCGGCACTGTCATGCCGAATTCTGTTTTTTTTTTAACCCCCCTCCCGCCTCCACTACATCCAATTGACCCACTAGTCACCCCCAAATGCCCCTAAGCCCCCCACATTACCTATTTTTAAATCTTTATTTTCTGCCCCGATCTATATTCAGGGCGCCGCCATCTTTGTGTGGGTAGGTGAAGTCCCTGTGGGACACGTCATCAGCCCACACTAGGCAGACTGTGAGATTCCCGCACATGCCCAGTGAAACACCTGGACATGCGAACGGGAATTTCATCTATTCATTCATCCATCAGACAGACGAATGAGTGAATAGAAAGATCAGCCGAACAAACAAACACAATGTATCAGTGTTAGTTTGTTCGTGCAGGTTATTACAAGGAGGGAGCTACCGGCGTGCAGCTCCCTCCTTGTAATATGTAACTATAGAAGCGGCAGGGAGCAGTGCTCCCCACCACTTCATAAGCCCCCCCAGGTCCCCCTCTCACTCTATGGGGGTCAATATGACCCCCATAATAGCACAAGGGAGATAAAAATCTCCAAAATGCCCCTACTCGCTATACCGCGAGTAGGGGCATGTCCACTAAACAGTGAGCAGCCTGTGGCTGCTCACTGTAAAAAAACAACAACAAAAAAAAAAACAACTATTGGCCCCCACCCCTAAACAGTGAGAATGAGGGGGGGGGCAGTATTCCCCCCACCCCTGGGCGGCGGGTGGGGGCCATAATGAGAATGGGGGGGGGGACCTACTGTCCTACCCCCCGCCCCCACCCCTGGGCGGCGGGTGGGGGCCATAGTGAGAATGAGGGGGGGGGCAGTACTCCCGCCCCCACCCCTGGGCGGCGGGTGGGGGCCATAATGAGAATGGGGGGGGACCTACCCCTTGGCCTGGGCGCGGGTGGGGGCCATAATGAGAATGGGGGACCACCGCCCCCATTCCCTGGAAGTGGTGGGGGCCATGAAGACTAATGAGGGACCTACTGTCCTCCACCCCCCCACCCTGGGCGTGGGGTGGGACCATGTGTGAAATGGGGGACCTACTGCCCCGACCCTGGGCGTGGTGGGGGCCATGAAGATAATGAGGGGGGGACCTACTGTCCTCCCCCCCCACCCCTGGGCGGCGGGTGGGGGCCCTAAGTCAATTACCCCCCCCACACCAAGGTGACTAGGTGTCCCCAAGCCCCTAGTCACCCACCCCACACCCAAAAAAAAAAGTCCCTACCTACCCCCCCTCACCCTAAAAAATAGTGAGGGGGATAAAATAACTAACCTGTAAAATAAAATTAAACTTACCATTCGACGTCTTCTTTTTTCTCAAATCTTTTTTCAGCCCCAAAAAAGGCCAAATAAAAAACCATCATAACCGTCGAATTGAAAATAAAATAAAAATCAGTAAAAACCAGTACAAAAAAAATAATCCATCTTCACCCATGGAGGGCTCCGCCAGACTGAGCTCTGCAGGGCGGGGGAAGGCTTATAAAGCCTTGCCACGCCCTGCAATTAGGCTAAGAACACTCTGATTGGTGGGTTTAAGCCAATCAGAGTGTTCTTTGTCATTTTACACAGCGTGGGAAAATTCAAAAGAACTTTCCCACGCTGTGTAAAATGACACAGAGCACTGTGATTGGATGGATTTCAATCCATCCAATCACGGTGCTCTGTGTCATTTTACACAGCGTGGGAAAATTCAAAAGAACTTTCCCACGCTGTGTAAAATGACACAGAGCACTGTGATTGGATGGATTTCAAGCCATCCAATCACGGTGCTCTGTGTCATTTTACACAGCGTGGGAAAATTCAAAAGAACTTTCCCACGCTGTGTAAAATGACACAGAGCACTGTGATTGGATGGATTTCAAGCCATCCAATCACGGTGCTCTGTGTCATTTTACAGCGTGGGAAAATTCTTTGAACTTTCCCACGCTGTGTAAAATGACACAGAGCACTGTGATTGGATGGCTTTAAATCCATCCAATCACAGTGCTCTGTGTCATTTTACACAGCGTGGGAAAGTTCTTTTGAATTTTCCCACGCTGTGTAAAGATGAAAAAGAACACTCTGATTGGCTTAAACCACCAATCAGAGTGTTCTCAGCCTAATGGCGGGGAAGGCTTTCTTCCGGCGGTCGCAAACTTCCCCAGCTATCAAGATGAATTATTTAGCTCCAGTCTCAAATAGGGCCCTGGCGCTGAGATTTTTATTTTATTTTTCAATTCGGGCGGTTATGATGGTTTTATTTTGGCCTTTTTGGGGCTGAAAAGAAGATTTGAAAAAAGAAGGCGTCGAATGGTAAGTTTAATTTTTATTTTACAGGTTTAGTTATTTATCCCCCCTCACTATTTTAGGAAAAAGAGCTGGAACTTGTGGGCGGTGCAGGTGGTGAGGGGCCGAGAGAAGGAGCAGTAGGTCGTCCCCCATTCTCATTATGGCCCCCACCCGCCGCCCAGGGGTGGGGGCCGGGGGGGGGCAGTAGGTCCCCCCCCTTCATTCTCACTATGGCCCCCACCCGCCGCCCGGGAGGGGGGGCAGTAGGTCCCCCCCCATTCTCATTATGGCCCCCACCCGCCGCCCAGGGGTGGGGGCCGGGGGGGGCAGTAGGTCTCCCCCCCCTTATTTTATGGCCCCCACCCGTGGTTTAGGGGTGGGGGCCAATAGTTTTTTTTACAGTGAGCAGCCACAGGCTGCTCACTGTTTACCAGACATGCCCCTACTCGCGGTATAGCGAGTAGGGGCATTTAATTTACTAATACTAAGTAATCTTTACTTAGTATTAGTAAAGTTGTCTGAAAGACCAATCTAGGTCTTTCAGCCTTTTAGTAGATAACTCCCTGATACCGGGAGTTATCTACTAAGCGGCTGCAAGATGCAGCCACAGCAATGAATAGGATCAGAGTTTCATTCATTAGAATGAAATTCTGATCCGAATAAAGTGCCGAATTGCGTTCTAAAAGAAACGAACAGACTGTTCTCATTCAGTTAGAACGCAATTCGGCAGTTTTGTGTAAAGTGACAGGAAGCATTGTGGGAACACAGAGGAAAGCTAGGGATCATGGGAAAATTGCTCTGACCAGCGGAAATGAAGCACAGTTTGCTCCTCCGCTGGTCAAGCGGAGGAATCCTCCATAAGGCAAAGAGTCCCTACTTTGTCTTATGATTTTAAAGAAAACTAAAGAAGATAGGAAGAAAAGAATAACAGATCCTGAGAGAGGGGGAGAAGAGGAAGAGATTGAGGAAAGGTAAGTTCGGCATGACAGTGCCGCTTTAACACAGAACACAGCATCTCACAGCAGCACAGTGTAAAGCAATAAAAACTTTGGCTGACAGTCAAATCGCACTGAATTAACTCATTCGCTGCTGGCTCCAATTCTCATAGGCAAGATATCCTTTCGTATTGCAATTTTACAAATACAATATTTCTCATACCAAATCATTTGACTATTCATATGTCCATACAATAGGAATAATTCTAACCAGATTTTTACCCTATGCAGAACAAATCAATACCTCTGGATAAAAGTTTGGTATGCTAACATTTAGCAAACTTACCATTAATATATTGTTATCTTTATTCTACCTGCAGGGATGGAATTTTTATAACCATATATTCCTTAGCTAATTATGATTTCTAATAATTGAAATCTGACTAACCTTTATCGAGATATATATTCATGCTATTGGCAAAATTTTAATAATTAATTAAATTGAATTAAACCAGCATAATTACCAGTTCTGTTGTAGAATTGAAGAATAAGGCTTAAAGATATGTCCCAGGAATTGTGAATGGAAGTATGAGAGTGTTTTTCTCTCTCCTTTGTCCTTATTTTTTCAAGGAGAATTTCTCTATATGTCACTAGTTGACAGTGACCAATAGAGTAAGGTGGGCGTGTCTTCCCTACAGACTATCACCCAGATTTTGGTCAGTAGATGGCGCAATTACATCACAGAAAATTCTTGTCACGGGGTCCATTTACTATTTTGTATACTCGGTTAACTGAATTTCGTGACGAGTTTGACATCATCTTGGTTATCTTTTGGATAACCATTTGTCAAAAACCTGTAATTCTTCAAAGGCTTTTGGTTAGTTTTTACCAGATAGAGTGTCTACTTTTGTGCTATTAAATTAGTTTGACACGTTTAACCTTAATTTCACCCTTCGTTACAATGGAAATTTGTATCAGATCCTTAATATTTAAAAAGTAAATTAATTACTTTAGTGTTATCTGTCTTGTTTGTCTGGTTTTCTTGTGTGAAACTGAGTATAGCACTTAGTAATGTTACACATATGATTTATACATGTCAATTACAGATATTCCTCTAACGTTAGTAAATAATATGACATTTCTTCATTGATATTATATCCATAAATATTCTAATATTATTAACTTAGTACTACTTATATATGATTAAATATAATTATAGTTAGTTATTTGTGGGTTGCTTTCTACCCCCCTTCTGCTAAAAACATCATGTCTTATCTGCCAATGTTTACATTAGTCGCATTCCTTTGATCAATGCTGAATTGAGTATTTAGAGAAAAAAATGTGTCTGTCTTTTTGTATTCTGTTACAAAATGGAGTCACCTCTGTTCTGATGGTGACTTACAGTATACAATTTTAATTTCTATGTTTACATAAGATGTCTTCTGGTGTAGATACCCTGACAACTCGCAGGGACTGAACTCTCCATATAAAAGAGCATATTTATACGACCTGCTAGTCAAAGAAAATATTGATGTGGCTTTAATACAAGAGACACACTGGAAACAAAACCAATCTCTATTATGGAAATATCGTAGATTTCCACATATATTTACACCTTCATTAAGGGAGAAAAAGAAATCGGGTGTTGCAGTGATAGTTTCTAGTAAAATCAAATTTGAATATATACATCATGACTCTGATAATGAAGGCAGACGTATAATATTGATTTGTTGTATTAATAATATTATGCATACTATTGTTAGTTTATATGCACCATCTGAGCATTCAGCCAAATTTTCAAATCATTCTATTGAGAAATAATCCCAAAACGTTTATTGATAACAGGAGGTGATCTAATAGCATCTGTGATCCTGACAAAGACAGGTCAGTTAAGTCAATTAAAGATCGTAAATATGAAAGTATTAGAATTAAGGCTAAACTCTTTTCAAATTCTCTTTTTAAAAATAATTTTTATGATGTTTGGAGGGTTCATCATCCAGAGGAAAGAGATTATTCTTTCTACTCATTCCCCCATGGTTCATATTCACGAATTTGACTTTTTTCTGATGTCGGGTTCTACTTTGGAGATAACTAACAACTCCAGACTAGGAAACATCACATGGTCATATAATGCACCAATGTGTTTAAATCTTAAAGGCAATAAGATAGAAAAAAATAGAAAATGAATGAAATTATATTAAAATCAGAAGAGAGTAAACAAGAACTGATTAAACAGGCCAACGATTTTTTTTAGAGTTTAATGATAATGGGGAAGTTCAAAGTAGCACATTATGGTGCACCTTGAAATGTTTTTTAAGAGGATATTTGATAAAAAAAGGGATCCTGGATGAAGAGAAAGGAGATATCACAGAATTATATATTTCTCTGGCAAAACTAGAAAGACAGAATAAAGTTATTCCCACAAAGAAGGTTGCAGATGAAATAGAAACAATCCTAAACTAAAAATATATAATCAGCAACCCAGAATAAAAAACAAATAATATTTGATGGTAATATTTGTATTTCACCAATATTATAAATCACTATAATCTACCGGATTCGGTGGCTAAAAATGTTGATATAAGATCATTTCTAAATGACCTGCATCTCCCTTCCCTATCTCTAGAAAAATTAGAGTTTGAATTATCCTTTTACAACATCAGAAATATCATCAGCAATAAAGGAAATGAAATGAGGCAAGGCTCCAGGGCCGGATGGCTTCACAGCTCTATTTTTTCAAATTCTTGATCCAGTAATTAACCTACTTTTAAGTAGAGTGTTTAATTCAGTTAGGGGAAATACTGGTTTCCCTCTAGAAATGATAGAGTCCACTATTCTCCTATTTTAGAACCAGGGACAGATCCGACACTAGTCCCCAATTACAGGCCCATTTCCCTTATCAATTTAGATTTTAAGCTTTTTTCTAAAATCTTAGCTCAGAAACTTAATCGAGTGATCCATGAACTTATTGATCCATACCAGGCTGGATTTATGCTGGGTAGATCAGGAAAAGATAACACCTGCAGAATCTTCAATATCTTAGAGGAAATCCATCTTCATCAAACCCCTTCCATTTTAATGGCTCTTGATGTCGAAAAGGCTTTCGATTGAGTAAATTGGAGGTTGATGTTGGAGACCCTGCGGCTGTTTGGTATAAATGGCATATTCTCTCTATATATGAACTTAACAGCGAAAGTCAGGGTTCCTTACATTCTCTTATTCATTCAAAATCCAAAATGTTAGCTGCTTTTATTAGAAAAAAACATTGAAATTTAAAGGTATAATGATTGGACAGCAAGAACACACTATTACATTATATGCAGATGATGTTCTACTTTCACTCTCTTTCAGTACCAGCCCCCTTAGATGCAATAGATCTATTCTCCTCATTTTCTAATTATAAATTAAATCTTTTTAAAACTCAAATTTTGACATTTTATAGGACTGATCAACTGAGGAAGGACATAGCTGACTTTGGTCAATTTGATATACATCAAACATCTATAGACTATTTAGGAATTAAGATCAGACTTAAAATACTGGAAACTGCTACAATGAATTATGAAACACTGTGGGGGGGAACTTAATACATTATTGACTCAATGGAAGAGATTAGAAATTTCATGGTTTGTACGTCTTGGTGTATTGAAATCATATGTTCTCCCAAAACCTCTTTATTTGTTTAGAGCTTGTCATGACAGTGACCCCAACACGCATAAAGTAATTCAGAAAGAGAAGTGTTACCGGACCTTAGAATGGCCGGGTTAAATGTCAAAGAGTAGTCTGAGAATAGCCGAGAGTCAAGGAGTACGGAAGACAGATACTCGGAGTAACAAGACGAAATCAGGATACCA